GCTTCCCTCTGAGGATAGGAAGGCAATCAGACTAAACCCACTGCTCTTCAACATACTAAATTGTGATCAAAGGCAATCTAGATATCTGATTAGGAGGCCTCTTGATCACCCCCCTTAGAACATTTTTTTGAAAAACCGTGTCAAACTTGGAGTAGGTCCCATGGCAAGAACACACTTGATGAATTACATATCTCATCTGAACATCTTAGGAGGGAAGAGGGATGTCTGAATTTCCCACCAGGACCTGTTCTCACTGAAATCTCACCTTAGATGAGTGGAGGATAATGGATGGATGGAAAAAAAAATAAACCAAGCAACTACTATATTTTCAATGTTCCCGAAAATCACTGTGCAATCATTGTTATCTTATGGTTAAGCCAATATATTGAATACATTCACCATTAAAGTATAACTGATCGATTGATTGATGACACCAGTCTGAATTTAATTGAGTTTTTGGGCCAAAAGTCAGTCAATATGACCTCAAGAAATATGGCTCAGAATAGGGATCAAATATAATGTAACTATCTGATACACGAAAACTAGTCAGTGATGACATCATCTATGTAAATTTAATTGTGACCATATCACTTAAAAGAAAACAATATTGTGTGCATATTATAATGTTTTGGTAATACTTAGTAAAGAAAACAAAGATTGACATGACACCATTCAATATACATCAGACTTTCATGACAAATCCTGACAAAATTTATTGAAATTCATCATTTGTGTCATTTGCAAATATGACTAAAAGAAGTGCCTGGACAGACATGAATTGAGCTGACATTGTATTGTAACTATAAAGTAGCTGAGTCAATATGTTTAAATTAAATTAACTTAAATTGAAGCTGAAAATTGAGGGATTCATTTAGTTCGTCCGTTGTTGTATATCTAGTTTTTCTGACAGTCTGGACCGGTCATTTGGAACAAGCACCTGGTTTTGAAAGTTGAAACTTAGGTAATGTTCTGTATAACCTAATTCCAAAGCTGTCTCTGTATTGGTTTGTGACAACATATTGGTTTATGACAATGTTTAAATCCAGGCTGAAAACAGTTCTGTTTAACTGTGCATTTGGAAATTGAATGTATTTTATCTGCATCCTTCACTTTTTATCTGTCTAATTTTCATTATTTTTCTGTTCTTGTTTGTCTGCTTTTAAATTAATTGTGAATTCTTTGTCTTGTACACGAAATGTGCTATACAAATAAGCTTGCCTTGCCTTATTACATTCTCCATTTGTTCTGACATATAACACTCCATTCAGTAGTTGTACTGACAAAAAAAAGCATCACATGTCATAGTCATGCTTAGATACAACCTACAAGGTTATAAACCTTTTCAAAACAATAGCTTTTCATGGTGCAATAATTGTTTAGATTATTGGAAGAGAAGCCCATTTGCAATCTAATCCACTAAATCACAGGTAATAACTGGGGCAGACTTTCCCTTCTGTGAAAAACTACGGAACGTGGTAATAATTCTTGCGTGAGTTTATTAATAATGGTGACCTCTTGAACACACTGCACACAGTGATCCATTGTTTGCGCAAAAACGTATGGATTAGACTGACATCCACATGTCCATAGTTTGTTTTGTTAATTACCATGGCATCTCCTGTAAATCCCTGCGGGTTGTTTCAAATACAAAGCCAAGAAAAGCTGATAATGTTTCGCCAAATGCTGAATACTGCAAAGTCTGACACTATAATGTCCCACCTGCTTGTTCCCACAAATCTAAGAGCAATGTTTTGTGGTTCTATATGAGGTGACAAGGGTGCAATAGCTAAGTGTACTCATAAAAGCAAGAGCACATCCATCATGGCAGCTGTTTGAGCCTGGGACTGGCCCCATGAAAAGCGTGCTTACCTTCTTTGCTCAAATGACACCTGGAACAGTGGGAGAAGCTGACCTACATATAAGAATCACATGGGGGAGTGGGGGCACAGGCAGAATTGAGTGAACTAGCTCGCCTCACATATTTGCAGATTTTTATTTTGTTTGTTTTCTTTTCTCTTCTTTTAGAAGGTCCCTTTTTGTGAGATTTGGATTAAATCCAATATATATATGTTTTAAATACTGTATATAAGAAAAACAAAAACCCAATATATATATATATATATGTTTTAAATACTGTATATAAGAAAAAAAACAACAAAAAAACAAAGCTCCCAAAGCGCAAACCTAACTTGTGGTAATCACCTTGATTACCACACTGATGCAAAGGCACTAGTTATGTTCACACCTTTGCCGTAGATGTGCAAGGTGAACAAAATCTTTGTCCACCTAGTTTCCCATTAATCCATCCATAAATCATCTTTAATTAAACCATTAACTATAATGATTTGGACCATTTCCTTATAGACGAGTGTAGCCTTGCTGTTTGATGATAACAGACATGCATGCTCTTTGATTCTAAAAATTAATTCTGCATCAAAGTGGCAGACAAACCAATAAAGAGACGTAAACGTTTCTTTGGATGCAGGTTGAAAGTGTGGAATATCCTCTGCTGTTTTTTCTTGCCTTTCTAAGGCTCTCAATGACGAAATAAAGGGCAGAAATTATCGAGTTTATATCTTGATCCAGTGCTGTGTGAACAGCCTATAGCCTATATCCCTCGGGGCTAGGCGAAATAAGTTAATAACCAAGAGCCAAAGGTAATCTTTGCCATGCTAAATTTCAGGACAAAACGGCCTCTTCAGAAGTTATTACCAGAGACCCAATCTGTATGGGTGTTATTCGCCCGAGAGCAATTTTAAGACTGTGGAGGAGACACGGGGCAGAGCGGGGGGGGGGGGGGGGTGCGAGCAGACAAGCACGACAGACAGACAGAAGGGCTGCGGACACCCAGCAGGATTGCTGAAGCAGACCAACGGCACGGCAGAGGGATTTACGCACGGCGGAGCGATTTACGCACAGCGGAGCGATTTGCGCGCAGCCGGGACTCCGTCTGGCCACGGGAGCGCGCGGCTCCGGGAGCGGGGCGCGACATGAAGCGGAGCTCCGACGCCGTCCGGATTCCCTCCACCACCTTGATCTTCAACAAGTGGGACCGTCGCGTCGTGGTTTCATAGGGAGCCGAGAACAGGGACCCGTTTGAGGACGCGGACCGGTTCTCTCGGTAAAGCAGGCAGCCGTGGAAGTTCTGCACGTTCAGCCTGGGAACTTTACTGCAAAACGCAGACGAGTGGACGTAAGATATTTTTATTTCTATTAAAAAAATATATATATATCTATGTTTAGCGTTGTCTATGTTCGGGGTCCAGAATTATTACTAATTACTTATTACTAAAAGGTAGTAGTCTGAACTTCAAATACAGAACGATACAATCCCTGCATAAGATGCTTTAGAAGTAGTTTTGAACACACTTCAGGTTCAGATTGTTTCCTGGTAAATCCTTGTTGGAATATGCTGACTAACAGTACTTTTTCCTCTTTAAAAGAAAACGTTGTGTCCTTTTTCTTCCCCTGGTTTAGTAGCAATTGTAACAGTTTACTCCTACAATCTGGTTAGAATATGTTACATCATATAACACGTGAAAGTGTTCTCCTTGGAGATTAGCACATTTTGTTTTATTGGAGACAGGAAGACTATAGCTGCACCCCTCCCTCCTTTTTCAAAAAAGGTGTTCATTTCCCACATAATGGGGTTTTAATAGATTTCTACGGAGATATCCTGGAGACCACATCTCGGACAAACCTCTATAAATATTATAAATAATGCATGCGGAGCACAGAGGAGGGCTGAGCATCTGTGTTGTAAGACAACTGAATGTTTCGCTGCACTTGGTCCTCAGTGTGTGTGTCACGTCTTTCCCCACACACCTCTCGCTGAGCAGACTAATAAAAACGAGATGGAGACCCCCTTTTTAAGACCCGGGAGGGGGATGAGAGAGAGATGCTGATACGCGGCCCGCGCCCCCTAAAGCTCTCGCCAAAGAAAAAAGGAAAGAATAAAAAGAAAGATGAGAGCTCACAGATGACCTCGAGCCCAGCAGGGGGTTTATTGTGCGATCAGTTGAGCCCACCAGAGGGTGCTGAGTCCTGATGTAATGACGCTCCTGGAGGACAGATGGAGTCATTTTAGAGTAGATGGCTAGCCTTATCATGGGGTTGAAACCTTGGAAAGGAGGGAGCTGTGCAAAGAAAAGAGAGAATGAAATCTCATTTTCGGAGTAGAGCTGCGTTCTTCGCTGTTTGTTCCAATTTGTCCAGCTGTGAAATCATTTAATTGAGATTAATCTGCACAATGCCCCGAGATCAGGAGCAAGATTGGTCTTTGCCTAATTGAATGAGAATATCCAGGCAGTGACCTGTTTGTAAGTGTGCCTGCTGCTCTATGAGATTTGGAGAAGAGAAATGGATTTTTTTCTCCGTAATCGCATTAGACATTTTGTCAACTCCGCGGGAATAACATTTGGAGCGCACATTTCAGAGAGACAAAGGGCTGCATGCTTTCAGAAAATGACTCGTCTTTGCTTTGGCTCTTTGTGTAAGACACCGTGGACAACGTGTGCATGCTCTGTAATTGAACTGATGACTTCTGTTGAAGACTAACACTTTTGTCTTTCTTTTTTTTTCAGCACATTGCATGACTCGTGGATTCCCATGAAGCTTAGGCTGTACTCTGAAGCCTTTCCCGATAAACAAAACCTTGAGGTTAGAGCTTACAGACGGAATATACCGAACAAGCAGCTCAATTTTTGGATGACCTCTTTAAAGATGTCTTTTCAAAGGATGATGTAAAGTCTTTCAGATCTTGTGGAATGGATTTCCTTGCGAAGGAGGGTTGATTTGGGAAATCGGAACCCCAATGAAACAGTGATCATAACCATTTGATGCAATAAGACGGTTTAAACTATGACTACTTTTGCCTGACAGAACTGCTGAATATGCAGGACTTAGGAAGACCTGGTGGGCTCTGCAACCCCTTGATGCTTAATGGCTGTGCCCTTTTATGGAGTTTGGTCTTTGGGATCTTTCTCGGAAATGCATCAGTGATGGCTTGCCCCTCCGTTTGTCACTGCATCGAGAAAAATGGCTTGACAGTGGTCCAGTGTATGTCGCGGAACCTAGAAAAGATCCCATCTGATCTTCCCAGAGATACCGTTATCCTGCTTTTGGCGGCAAACCACATCACCCACGTCCCCAATCATGCCTTCAAAGAACTGCATTACCTTCAAGAGCTGGACCTGTCCAACAACGACATCGAGACTGTGGACGTGGGCTCATTTCAAGGCGTCTCTGACAGCCTCCTCGTGCTGGATTTATCAAACAACCGCATTGAAAGCGTCCCCAAAGAGGCTTTTGCCCGCCTCCGGGCCAAAATCAGCCTGTCGAACAACCCCTGGCACTGCGAGTGCACGCTGCAGGAGGTCCTGAGGGAGCTCCGGCTGGATCCCGAAACGGTGAACGAGGTGATCTGCCACACGGCGGTGCAGGAGGAGTACGCGGGCAAGCCGGTGATCCAGGTGCTGGACTCGGGGATCAACTTTTGCAACTTTCACCACAAGACGACCGACGTGGCCATGTTCGTCACCATGTTCGGGTGGTTCACCATGGTGATCGCGTACGTCATCTATTACGTCAGACACAACCAGGAGGACGCCAGAAGGCACCTGGAGTACCTGAAGTCACTGCCAAGCAACTCTCAGATCAGCAAGGATTTTGACACCATCAGCACGGTTCTCTAGCAGGCCCGTGAGACTCAGGAGGTGGGGTGTGTAAGAGATGTGTGTCTTGAAAGAGCTGAATAAAAGCGGGGTTACTAAAATGCTGATAAAAGACATGATCACATATGTTTTCAAGCACATTATTTGGGCTCAGGAGGATAAAGTCAACCGCTTTTATCTTCAGGTAGCCCAAGAAATTAACCATGCTGTATTATTAACATTTTTTGTTAGGTTACATTAGATCCGAACAAAAAAATGGGGCTTATTTTTGTTGATGGCACAAAGTAAGAAAGGTACAAGTAAAATGAATTTCAATAAGAAAATGGTACTGTTAGTGGGAGACATAAATCTCTCTGCTCCGATGTGGATCCACACTGTTGCTGAATCTGAACGGAGACGGATGAGGAGGACTGAGCTATATTTACGTACTTAAGTCACAATGTCAAGATGAACGCTATTTTACGAGACTTCAGTTTACATAACATTCACACCAGCTCAGCCTTCAGTGAACCTTTAAGCTAAAAATGAAGTACCTAAATAAAGAAAGGTTGCCATAGATTTTCGACGTGCTCACTCTGCATACAACTTTATTTCTGCATCTTATTCCAGCGTTTTTTGAAGCAGGACCTGGACTCCTCAAAATATTCCAACATTTTTCATAAAGTCACAAAAAGGAATTGAAGCTCTTTTTAGTGTCAGAATACACAGACATATAGAGATTTCTTTGCCTGCTACAGCTCAGACCATTCAGCTGTCAGACATGTTTGAGTTTTTGGACTTCAAAAAAATCATTCACACCACACACTTATATCACTCTTAATTAAATCATCTTTCTGATCATTTCAAGAATATAATTCTAGCATCTCATTAGTCTTGTTTTAATATCAGCAAATGTGCAAAAACATAAATCCCTGTCCTATAGTTTCTTATCTGCTGTTAATGAGAAGACCCCATTTGAATTTTACTGTTAAACTGGTATTAAGCAGCTCGGGAGCAATCTGAAAAAGAACGAGCCTGTCATTTAGGTCCAAAGTTCACATCGATTCGGATGAAAAATAAATCATTAAGGTCTTTTAACAACAGGAAATGACATATTGCATGTCTATATTTGTTTAAAAAAAACATAACTAAACAAACAAAAACTAAACAAAAGGGAGAAAGCATGTGTGAAAAAGAGCTTTTTTTAAGCACCAGTGACAACAGAAACTTGTAATCATTCCCAGTATAATGGTTTCAGTCTTTTATGCATTCCTGTGGGGGATTTCAGACCACTCTTCTTTCTAACATTGCTGCACATTGTCTCTTTTTAGGTCCCACCATAGTCTTTTTAGGTAATTCTTTTGTAGATTTGTTTTTCCTTGATGAACATTACATGTTTGACAGATGGCCTAATTTCTGACTAGAATCCGGGTCCTGTGGCTGCATACCAAGCACAAATCATCCCTTTACCACTGTGCAGACAACCAGTATAGAGCGCCTCAGTACAAACATCACCTTTGTGCTGACGTGCTCCAAATGTGCTGCTGCGCATACCGACCGGACATCTCTCTGGTCTGTCCAGAGGACATTGTTCCAATAGTCTTGTGGTCAGTTCAGATGCAATTTAAGCTAAGCCATTTCCAGTTAAAGGAACGAAGCTTACTCTGGAGACCTTTCTCAAAACATGTCAAAACCTGTCCGGTGTTTTTCAAACTTGTTTGTCCATTTTTTTTACATGCTAACTGAATAATCTTATATGTAGCTGATGTCCTTAGAGTTTTATCCCTGTTTGTCATTCCTTCACAATCAGGTTTTACGGATCCAGTTCAGTGGCCTTTGTCTTGGTATGGCCACCTTTTCTGAAATCGTAGTTTCATTTGGTTTTACTTTATTGTTTTTTTTTTTATTCGTGATCAACTGCAGATATGTGCAGAGGGCTGGATTGTAACACCCCCCAAATCTCAACCGTGTGCCATTATAGTGGCATGTCAGCTCTTGTCAAAAAGAGGTCTGAGATGGAGTTGACATGAATGCTTGTTATAGGTTCTCCGGCTTGTTTGCCTACACACCATTATACTCAATTTATCATAATGTAGAGGTTGTAAGAAAAAAATAGAAAAAGAGAGTAAAGTTAGGTCGAAATTGAGTTGTGTGGTAACTCACTATTAATTTGTCACTGTGAGTTACCCCCTCTCCATTACAGCCCTATTATACACGGTTACATCACAGTATGTTAATGTTAACCCAACAGAGTAGCTATGCCCTGGATACTAGGACAGAACTCACAACAGGGGGTGATGGGAATAATTTCACCTCTAGACTAAATGAAATCTTGCGTAAGTGCTCACTGGACGCTAAGTTCAGATGAGTTTTGGTGGATATTTTGGGGCACTCATATACAGGCTAAAGAGCAAGCCATCGCAAATTACTCATATAAAAGAACAATTCTTGGATACAAAGTTAGACATTGGATTTTTTGTTGTTATATTTATTAGGTTACCTCAATGACCAAGAGTTTATTGTGTCCATGTGCCTATTCTCTGGGATTTCTAAACCACAGCACTGTGTACTATACTGGACAACTGAGTGTTTAGCCCTCTTCCTGTCCACCGTAGCCATTTCAGAAAGGTTTTTAAAGGCTTAATATTCCATGTTTTTCCGTGTTTAACGACTCATTGTACGTATCTCTGTGGTGATTCTTACTGAGTTAGTTGTTCAAGATTGAAATAAACCCAAAGTAGCTGTTTGAGACTTGTTTCATGATTGTAAAATATATTTTTTAAGTGTCATTGTTCATCATCTGTGCCGTTTTTAACCTGTCATATAACAATGTTTGTGTTTTGGCCAACACCCAGAAGACTTTCCGAAGGACTACGTGTGCCAATCCGTGTTGTTATTTTGTAACGTGTGTCTCTGGCAAAATCCTGTGGAATTATATGTGTGATTGATTTGTCAGCGTCTCGAACTGTGTAAAAGGAATTTGTCCATGACCTGTGTCTTTCTGTGTTGGACATGAAAGGGCTCCTATAACGTTGTTTAGAAAAGTTTTATGAGTTTTATATGTTTTAGTAATTTCTGTGTGGGTTTTTGTTTAAAAAGAATGGACAATTTACCAGCATTTTGAAATAAAACATCTTACCAATCACAGTTGAATGGCTTGTTTGACATATGTGGCTACATTCTAACAAATTTACGTCGTAAAATGAAGTGACTTAAAGCATGTTTCCCATAGTTGTTTTTTCACCTTTGAAAGAGCCAATGACAGTCCAATTAAATTAAGGAGAAAAACCTACATGCTCACTTATTAAGGAAAATTGTCTCTTAATATGAGAAGTCCTTGGCTGGCAAAGGTCACCTGAGGGATTTGTGGAATTAGCGAAGTGTATTCAATCAATGATATGACAATTAGGCGGGAGAGGGCATCAAGAGGGAATCGTGCTGAATGCTTCCAACAAAATCACGGCTCAAAAAAGAGATTTCCGAAGACCTCACAAATAGCTCTTTCTTATCAGAGCGGGAAGGACTGCAAAATCCACTTCTTAAAAGACTCAACTAAGCGAGATCACTTTAAGAACATGGAACAGATAATCTATGGTAAAGGACACTCTGATATTGCCGATAAGGTTGATGTTTATGAGTCCTTTGTCAGGATAACAGTAAATAACAATTGGCAAGGAGAGAGCCAGTGTCAACCAAAAGGTGTATTGCTCCTCATCTGCTGGTAGCTAAATAGCTGGATACAGCTTTTTGTGGATAAATCAGATGGAAGTATATATATTTTTTGTTTAAAAAGTCAAGTAATCCCCTGGGTACTGCGGTCTTTCTGTGTGAAGTTTGCATGTTCTCTGCACATCTCCCTCCAGGTGCTTTGGTTTCCTCCCACCGTCCTAAAACCTGAACAAGATTAATTAAAGACTCTAAAATACCCTTGGGAGTGTACAGTATGTGGTTGTTTGTCTATGTAAGGCCCAGAGTTGGACTTTGAACCTGTCCAGGGTGTACCCTTGCTTCAATGTTAGCTGGGATAGGCTCCAATACCCCTATGACCCAACTAGGAATATTGTATGAACAATAGAAGGGTGGAGAAGTCAGGTGTGTAGAAGGAAAAACACTTCAAACTCCAAAATAAGAACTACCCTCGGACATTATGGCTTTGTTCACAGTTCTCTGAATCAAGTCACAGAGGTACTGCTCATCACAGTATACATAAGTACAGAATTGAGCAATTAATGGCAATAAGTCCATTTAAGCAACACTGGCAGGAACTAACATATCTTATTGTGTTGTCTTAACATGGCACTGAAGCAACCAGAGCTGTTTTCTGACTTCCAAAACAAAGTGCTTGATGGTGATGTCTGTTGCGACGTAGAAACACTTCATAATACCCATTTTGGCTGGAGGACCTTTGTCTTTAATAGAGAACAACGCTCCATTCCTGTAAGAGGGGACCACTTCATTCTCAAAACGTCAACACTTCTCAGCTGCATCCGGTCCTCGTCAGTCACGTCCATTGTCAAACAACAAGAAAAATGACGTTTGCAAGAAATAAAAATGCACTTGGTCCTCAAGAGTTTCCCTCATTTGAGCATAGAACACATTAATAATACTTTTATAAACGTTGCACATCTTTTGAATGTAAATTCAAGTACCAGGGGGCTCTTTGGTGTTTCATTTGTCTACAAGTGGAACGGCTGGTTGATGACTTTTGTTCTTTTTTTAAATTTTCATGAGCTAATTCTTCTAATTAAGCTTCTAAGCTAATTTCGTTGCAGTGTATCAAAAAACAATTGACCAAGAAAACAATACAGACAGAAGCATACGTTTTGAATTCAGGGTCCAATGAACCACAGGTCCTGAAAGGGTTAAATGACAACAATGGTTGGAAAACACAAAGGGAAAATTTAATGACTGTGGCCAATTGCAAAGAGAACATTTACAGTGGGGAAATTAATTTAGTCCATTACTACCTAAAGACTGTTTCTTTTTTTTCTTTTTTTCTTTCTGTTGAATGCTACAAAAAAGTGACAGAATGCAAATACATT